TCCATTCTCGGTTCCCCGATCGAACCTTGGAAGCCATCAAGTGTCTGCGGAACAAGAACCCCGCTATAAGGAGGTTCTTGCGGCTCTTGAGGTTGAGGAGGTAGACGAGGGACTACCCACGGTAACCCCTAGCGAACAACCCCATGCCTTTGCTCAGGCAGATGGTTTATAGAGGGACCAGCACCGAATGGCGATTAATATCGAACACCTTGATCTTGATGACCTGGACTGGGTTGATGACCTGGACTGGGTGGCTGATGGTTGTCCTGCTGAGGATATTCGGAAGAAACTCGATGAGTTGTTTGCGTCATGGGTCGGACACCTTGTGCGTGGTGAGCGGGCTCCTGCAAGGAGTCATCAGCCCGCGGCAGGTGTTACGAACCTTAATTGTGAGTTAGATACCCGAAGGCGTAGACGAGCGCAATACAGTGCAATTCAACACTTGTATGGCCGTAAACCATCTGCGGCCGCGCATAAGGTGCTGGACGGGTCCTGGGAGTGCAATGACCCTTGTCCAATGCCTACTCTAGAGGACTTCAGAATGGCCTGGCAGCCTATCTTTGAGACTCCATCTATCAAAGATAACAGACGGCCGACATGTGTTGGACAGGTGAAGTGGGAAATTGTTAGTCCGGTTACACCTGGTCAGTCTGAACAGGTCTTAACCGAGGGTGCCTCTTCGGCGCCTGACCCGGATGGGGTGAAGTTGAAGGATGTCATTGGACTCCGGATTGGAGAGCTTTGTAGCCACTTTAATCTGTGGCTACTTTGTGGAAGTCAGCCCAGCGCCATGTGCGTGGGTCGTACGATCTACATCCCAAAGGGCTCAGAGTCTAGTAATGCGCTGAAGTATCGCCCAATAACCATTGCCTCTCATATCTTACGAGTCTTTCATAAGATCATGGCTCGAAATTTGATGTGTTCCTGCCTCTGAAGTACACCCAGAAGGGGTTCAGGAGTGGTGACGGCTTTTGATTCGGTCAGTCACAACACCATTGTTTTGGCAATGCGTCGTCTTGGCTGTCCCGATCCGTTCCTTTCGTATATCCGTGACCTGTATTCGCGCTCTAGTACGATGATTGAGCAAAATGGAGAAAGCACTCCAATTTTCACTCGCAGAGGGGTCAAACAAGGTGACCCTCTTTCACCGTTCATGTTCGATGCCGTGATAGACTGGGCTTTTTCATCACTTGACGACCATGTAGGGTTTTCGTTCGGACATGTTAGGGTGAATAACCTCGGATATGCAGACGACGTCGCCTTGCTAAGTGATACGCGGGCTGGCCTGCGATCACAATTAGGGAAGTTCGAGTCGCACCTCGCTAAGGGCGGCTTGACAATCAGTGCAGGCACTGAGGGTAAATCTTCCTCCCTCAGCATTGTGGTTGATGGGAAAGCAAAGCAATGGGTTGTTAACCAAACCCTGTTCCTGGCGACTAACAAAGGCATTGTTCCATCTCTATCTGCCTCCGGGGAGTACAGATACCTAGGTATTATGTTGGGATCGGGTGGGGCAAAGGTGCGTAGTTCCTTGCGGGAAGAATTATTGCAAGGGCTACAAAACATCACTCTAGCATCTCTTAAGCCCCAACAGAGGGTGCGGATCCTACGCAATTTTTTGCTGCCGAAGTATCTGCACGAACTGGTGTTGGCTCGACACTACTATTAGGGCCAATGTACGTCAATGGTTGAAGTTGCCCCAGGATACTCCGGTGGCTTTCATTCATGCAGGGACTGGTGATGGAGGCCTCTCAGTACCATCACTTCGATACTTGGTGCCAGTGATGAGGCGGAAACGACTGGAGGCCGTCCATTCCGCGACGGATCCGCTCTCCACTGCCCTGGCTGCCTCACCCTTCTTTCAGAAGGAGTTGAGCGGTCTGTCCCGTAAGACCTTGGGCAGGCGATTGGTGACAGACAAGCAGTCTCTCGCTCAGGCTTGGGCTGCTTGTCTTTACACCAAATTGGATGGGAGGGGATTATCCGAAGCTCGGTCCTGTGCGGAGGGAAGTCGCTGGGTGTCAAACCCTCCCCGTAATCAATCAGGGGGCAATTACATCGGGGCTATTAAGGCTAGAGGTGGACTCCTCCACTCGAAAGTGCATTCTGCACGTGGTGACTCTGGCAGGGATGTAAGATGTGACTCATGTATGCGCCCAGAGATGGCTCAGCACATAATACAGGTGTGTCCGAGAACCAGCGGTCCTAGAATGCGACGCCATGATCACATAGTCCAGTTCGTTTCAGCTGCTGCTGAGCGGGCTGGCTGGCTACAAGGTCTTGGTTGAGCCTAGGATAGTTGGTCATACTCTGGGTGTTCGGAAGCCTGATCTTGTTCTTTGGAATGAGAGTAGGGCCTACGTGGCGGATGTCACTGTCACTTCTGACCAAGTTGGGGGAGTTAAAGCACACCGTGATAAGGTTGCTTACTATGACCAACCAGAGATTCAGGAATGGGTCGAGAGATTTACTGGGCTATCGAACATTTCCTTTTCCACAGTTGCCGCCAACTGGCGGGGCGTCTTGTCACCTCTCAGCGCTAACTTTCTTAAGTCGGTGCTGAAATTGTCCAACTGGGATATTTCTTTGTTAGGTCTTCGGATCTGCAAAGAAACGTACCATATTCACCGGTACTTTGGGAGAAGTACGTATAGCGTTCGGGGTCGTGGACCTTCGTGATGCCTTGTTGGAAACGATTATGATGTTGGCCGGTTTTCGGGCCAAATGCTGGAGTTCTTTTTATCCTTTTTGTTACTTTATCTTTTCTTTTTTCCTTTTCATAATGAGTTTGAACAAAGGTAAATAAATAGCCAAATGCCTCGTCATCTAATTAGTGACGCGCATGAATGGATTAACGAGATTCCCACTGTCCCTATCTACTATCTAGCGAAACCACAGCCAAGGGAATGGGTTTGGCAGCAACAGCGGGGAAAGAAGACCCTGTTGAGATGACCCAAACGTCCGTAGATTACGGCAAATTTCGAAGGCCTCCCAAATTCCCCAGTCTGACACCCTCACAGATCCTGTGTCTAATGTCACAGGCAACAACAAAATCCCCCTAGTATTAAACTATCATCCTTTCAATTTCAAAGTTAGAGATGTCATCAACAAGAATTTCCATATTTTGAAAAACGCCCCTCAAACATCTTCCATTTTCTCCGATAACCCCTTAGTAGTCTCTTTTTGACACAGCAAAAATATCCGTGAAACCCTTGTCCGTAGCTCCCTAACACAAGCTTCGACATCACAGAAAGGCACTTTTCCTTGCCTGTCGTCGAAATGTAAAACCTGTGATTTTATAGATTCCACCACTATTGTTTCAGCACCTAAATCTGAATTTCACATCAAGCACCATTTCACGTGCGCCTCCTCCCATCTCATCTACTGCATCTCTTGCAGCAGATGTGGCATGCTTTACATTGGCGAAACTGGAAGATGTTTAAGGACAAGGTTTGGTGAGCATTGGCTTGCAGTTATTGGCAATGATGCTTAACCAACCTGTTGCCAGACATTTTAATGATGGCAATCACAGTGTTTCAGACATGTTAATTCGAGCCCTCTGTCCCATTTCTGGAAGCAACGATAGCCGCAAACAACATGAAATGCACCTCATATCCAAACTTGGCACTGTTCACACTTCTGGTATTAATGAATGCTTTTCTTATGTTTAATGCCATCATAGACAATCCAGAAGACATGTCTTCTGTTTTGTCTATGATGCCATCTGTCTTTACCTGTCTATAGCAGACATTGACAACTTCTATTTATTACTTTTACCTTATTCCCACTCGTGTTTTGTTTTGATTATTTTTTGTAGTAATTGTCTTAACTTCCTGTTTATTTTATATTTTTAATTATATTATATTCTGTAATGCGATTTACATATTTTGTTTGCACTTTGTTATTATTAAATCCATCTAATTGGTTTATTTTTTTGTCACGTGATGCTTTCATACTCTTAGTATAAAAGCCCGTGCATTTTCCCCGATCCCTGCTACTGACTCTTGATGAAGGGCCTTCGCTCGAAACGTTGAGTTTCTGCTTATTTTGCAAGGTAGTAATATAACCACTCAGCACAGCATACGAAATTGTAGCATGCACAATATGATCGAAAAACTGATCACCGAAAAACAAGTTGAAAAAGTCCTTAGGGGAGGCGTCTAAACCCAATCCATGTCGAGGACCAAAGTCGGCAGTAAAGTCTTCAACACTAACACTACTTAAATTATCTTTCCATTCAAAAATATCATCAAAACTATCTCTACTTATCTCGCCTTTCACTCACACTATTGCTGTCGAGTTCTTGAACTTCGGTGTCCGAAAAAAACGGTGAAAATCTTCTTCCTCTTCGTCCGATTCACCCGCTATGTCTCGCCATGAAACCGTCGATGTGGCTGCTGCGATAGGCTGTGTTTCTTCAACCGTTTCGTTGACTAAAAAACCTGTCAAAATGCTCTTAACTTGGTCAATATGAATTGCACAAGCTTGCACGAGGTATCATGGTGCCCATTGCTAGGCAACGCGAAATGCATATCTCTTATTATTGGCCAATGAAATTGACGTGTCGTTGAGGCGTATGCGGGCACATTGCCAGTTACCCACTTGTCAATCTCCGGGTGCATGCGGGCATATTGAAAGTTAATGAGTTAAGTTATTAATTTCAATTTGCAATTCATATTCTGTCACAGGTTCAGTAAACATACTTTCAAACACTCAATAATTCATAAGCTTATTGGCAAATCATGTCAACCATAATATGTCACGTGCAGTGGCTTTAAACCTGATAAAACACTCCTAATTAGTATTCTTTATATAAAGAATACTAATAAGGCAGTATCTATTGTAGTCGTGTCTTCATTAGTATTTTTTATATAAAGAATACTAATAAGGCAGTATATCTATTGAATTTGCAGTCGTGTTTGAAGCCGTTTAATAAACTCGCAGGTAGTGTTTTATTAGGTCTAAAGCCACTCGCGCTGCGCGCTCATGTCTTTAAACCTAATAAAACACTCCTGTTCGTTTATTAAACAGTACTTCAACATAATTACCATTAAGGTAGCTTTCGTATTTTATGTTATCATTTCCTGGAATTTTTTTTCTAGTTGAGGGCCTATATTTACGAAATATTCGTCAAATTTGTTAGCACTTTCCTGGGGATTCGTAATATTGTCATTTGAACTCTTTTGTGGGGAAGTATCAGGTAGATTTTTTCTTGTTTTATTTCTGTTAAGCACTTCATTGATAGTTTGCCATGTTTTTTTTAATCATTTTTGTACTTAACAAATTGTTTTTCGTAATAGACCTTTTTTGCGGTTTTTATTACGTGATTCAGTTTGTTTTTGTATTTTTTATAGTTTGTCTCATTTTTGTGACTTGGTTTTTTAAGAAATTTTTTTTATAAAGTTTAGTTTTTTATATAGACTTAAATATACCATTTGTAATCCAGGGACTTTTTGTGTGGTTTACAAATTTGTCAAAGGGAAAACTTTTATCAATTGCTATCTTCAAATTAAAAACGAAAATTCGTATAGGATTCACATGGGTCATTTGGTTCGAAAGTACTTTCCCATGATATATTTTTCACAGATGCTAGAAACAAGTCGAGATTATCTTCGTTTATTATTCATTTGAAATGTGAATTTCCCATTTTGGGGTCATTATTGTTTGAGGATAAACAAGCTATACGAAATATTGGGAGATGATCTGAAATATCTGAGAAGATTAATCTGTTTACGCTTGAATCCATATGTTTAATATCGTTTGTAAAGATGTTATCAATTAAAGTAGCTGTATGCTGGGTAATTCTAGTTGGTCTATTTATAAAAAATCCTACTCCAAAATAAAAAATCCTACTCTGCCACCTTTTTTATTTTCTCTGTTAGAACAAATAAAATCAAAATTACTAAGATTGAAATTTTCACTATTTTTGTCATTAAGCCAAGTTTCAGTTAAACTAATTATAGAAAAGGGTTGTTTTAAAGTATTTAGTAGATTTCTAAACGAGTCAAACTTATTTGCTATACTTCTTATGTTCAGGTTTAGTATTGATAGTTTTTTGCTATCAGAATTAATTACAGCAAAGTCATTTGGTAGGTAATAGTTGCACGTTAAACAATCAAGATTTTCTGGCATATAATTTGCAAAATGTCGCACGTTAGTAATGTTATCAAAGTCTAGAGGATTAAACTTGAGTTGTGTTAGTCTATCCATAACCTCATCGCATGGAAGTCGATTAAAATTGCCAAAAATAAAATGGAATTCTAAATCATCAATTCAATAAAAAGGAAGCGAACAACTTTAAGCACATGTTGCATATATCAACTTCCGTTTGATGACATGTGACTGGTAATTTTATGCATGAGGCGCGAGTATGAAACCATCCCCCTGCATGTGAGACACTTAATGCTTTTTTGATTTTTACTTATTTTAAGAGAACAGGTAGAACATAATTCCTTATCTAAACTTAGACTGGCCATATCTGGTTATGTATATATGATTAAAACTATAAAAATGAAAAATAACTCTACTAATATTAGTTATATTGAATATAATTTGAATGTTTGAACTCGACATTGTTTATATACAACCTGTCTCGAACCATACACGCTCTGTGACCTTGCGCTTTCACCTTCTTCATTTCTTCATCTTTTCGATTTCTTCGGGAAATTGTTCTGCGATTCCAATGTGTGTGCCTCTGAATTTTCTGGCATTCATTCAAATATGTTCGCGGTCTTGAAAGTAGTTAAATTTCACAATGATTGCTCTCGGCTTACAGTTGTAGTTGCATTGTGCCTACTTTACTATTTTACTATGTCTAACGCCAGACAATTTTACTCTTCAAGGGGAGAGTGCTGGCACTTAATGGGTATAACTGTCCTATCTGCCCATGTGTCTAGTTAACCCATCGAGTCGCACTGTCCCCTGATGCACTGTCCCCTGATGCACCCTATTAAAATTAATGATTATGTTACTTTGTCTAATGCCAGATTATTTCACTATCTAATGTCTAACAGACTGACACCAGTTGATTACAGTTTTTGAAGAAACAATTGTTTAGTATCCCTACATGGATTAAACAATTAACATAGATTAATATACCTAATCTAAATAGAACTTAATCTATATGTGTCTTATATAACTGAACTATATGCATATTTTAATCTGTAGAGGAATTTATTCTATGTTTGATCTTTTTGTAGAGTTAGAAAACCGTTGTATCATGGCAACTTTGACATACATATGTTCTTGAGGAGAAGGCCCGAAGGGGGTTACCCACAAAACATACCTCAGGAGAACATTCCTTTAAAGTTGTTCTTGTAAGTGAATTTTGCATATTTTATAACATCTAGATAGAAATAATGAAGTGATATTGTATATAGTAAATGTATGTTTTTGTAGTGTAACTACAGGAGAAGTACAATATTTGAACATGCTTATGTCACTCTTATGTCAATGCTTCTCTTATATTCCTTTGTCGGAGACTGGGAACGAACAGTGTTAATTTTGTTAAGTTAAGCACATTTTTTGTGAGACTTGTGAGAGCGAAGTGAGATTTTATAGCGAAGCGATTTCTATTATTAAATATAACTTTTAAACTTTAATTTGTGAGTGATTTTAAGCGAAGTGACGTATTATTTGTTGGGAATCAGTTTTGGAGGCAAACTTTCCTAACACCTGGCACCTCCGACGAAAAATATTGATGAAATTTGCGAATTATTTCTGGATTTTGACCTCAAGAGACAAAGTTTAGGTACGAATTCTTTTAATTTACTGGCGATATTTGTGGCGATATTACATAACGTTTGAGAGATTATTGTGCAAAGACTTGTTTACGTTCTGAACTGTGGGATTATTATTCATATTTCGGCGATTTGTGGCGAAATATTTCATATCTGTGAGCGATATATTTTCTGTGTAAACTTGTGTACTGCGAAGGGTGTTACGGCAACCCGCGAGTTTAGCCTGCGACCAGGTTAGAGTGTGCGAAGTTCCGCCTGCGAGATTCGGCCCTAGAGGGGCCCTCTAGAGGTACAGTGATTTTCAAACATTTGTGATTTTTTGGAGTGATTAGTAAAATTTGGCAGCTGTTCCCAAATTTTAGTTGGCTGGAAGGACATTCTACAAGTGCTATATCTTATTGGCAAATTCTGTATACTTTATAATCATACAACATCAAATCTATTGATACTATGGCAACTGGGAACAGTGTAATTGAGAATAAGTTAGTACAGCTTAAGCTTATAGTTGGGCGAACCAGAAAGATTCTGGAATCCGGAAATCAAGAAGCAGTTGAGCGACAACAACGAGCTTTGCGAACCATTGTTGCTGACATAGACAAATGTAAAGTGGAAGAAGAAGCAAGAATGATTGACGAGAAAAAGGAGTTGACAGAAATTAGTGAATGGAATTCAAACATCGAGGAAAAGTTATCTGAAGCAGACAAGGACATTCATGACCTGAGAGAATGGTGTGAAAGTAAGAAACGAGAATGCGAGGAAAACCAGCGGAAGCAAGAATTAGATTTTGAACATGAACTATTTCAGACACGCCTAAAATTCCAGAATGAGCTACAGGCAGCTAAACTAAAGCAAGAATCAGCAAGTGTTGAAAAGAAAGAGTCACAAGCAAAGTTACCTAAACTCATCATTACTAAATTTAATGGCGCCTACCAAGACTGGCCTCGATTCTGGGAACAATTCCGAGAGACGGTGGACAAAACAAGTATTGATGCTGTCATTAAATTCACATATTTACAAGAGTTGTTGGAACCTAAAATCAGGAAATCTGTGGAATCACTACCCTTTACAAGTGAAGGTTATAATAGAGCAAAGAGTATCCTTGAAGACAGATATGGGAAACAATCAGAAATAATAAAGGCTTATACCAAGCAGATTTTCGATTTGCCCAAAATTCCGGATGGTAATGTGAAGCGAATTCATGAGTTCTCGGATAAATTATCATATGCGGTGCAGTCTTTGGAAACACTTGGCAAACTTTCTCAAGTCAATGGGTATGTATCGATGACACTAGACAAACTACCTGGAATACGTGGCGACCTTGTTCGAACAGATGATGCTTGGGAATCCTGGGACTTTGTAAAACTGTCTGATGCGGTGAGACTCTGGACTCGGCGAAACCCAGTTGAGAAGCTTCCTTCAGGAAAACTGCTTAATGTCCGACGTCAAGATTTTACTCCCAAGGGGTGTGTCTATTGTACTGAGAAATCACACAAATCAGCAGAGTGCCCAAAAGTATGATCTGTGTCTGAAAGACGGTTGATTCTTACCAAACAACATCTGTGTTATAACTGCACTGGTTCATCACACCGTGCGAATGATTGCCCAAGTCAGTCTAAATGTCAAAAATGTGGGCGGCGTCACCACACCTCAATTTGTGATAATGATTCCAAGAGTGGAGTGAAGGGGAAGAAATTGCTAATTTCATGTGAGGTGAATCCGGAAGGAATCTTTCCTGTTGTTAGAATGAAAGTGGATGGCATTGAATGCAGAGCTCTGATCGACTCCGGAGCAGGGAGCTCCTATGCTTCTGCAAAACTAATTAATCTGCTGAAAAAGAAACCAGTTGAAGTAGCAAGAAAACGAGTTGATATGCTGATGGACTCTCAGGAAGCATTGTTGGAGACTTATGAAGCAGTTGTTGAAGCAGTTACTGGGGACTTTCGCATGTCCGTGAATTTGACAAAGGTAAAAAAGCAAGAGCTACTATTCGTTGATAACCCATGTTATGAAGAAGTAATCAAGAAGTATCCACATTTGGAAGGAGTTGAAATAGTAGAAGATGATGTTAAAGCACAGCTTCCAATCCATGTTGTCTTAAGTAGCGGTGATTTTTCTCGAATTAAGACTGATGCAAAACTCCGTGTTGGTAGAGACGGTGAGCCTATAGCGGAGTTAACAAAGCTCGGTTGGTTTATAATGTCGCCTGGTAGCGAGTTTGACAAAGCCAAGATGTTCCTGACACAAACCACTCATTCCGATTATGAGCAACTGTGCAAACTTGATGTGCTAGGATTGGAAGATAAACCAGAAAACGACCAGGGGCAAGTTTATTCAGAGTTTAAAGAGCAG